TCCCCAGTACCCCCAAGTACTTCTTGGGTGGGCTGTTCTCGATCCCTTCATCCCCCAGCCTGTACTGATACCAGGCTTGCCTCGACCCAGTTGTAGGTCCCTGCACTTGGCCTTGTTGAAGGTCATGAAGTCACAGAGGCCCATTTCATGAGCTTCTCCAGGTCCCTCTGAATGGCAGCCCATCCCTCAGGTGTGTCAACTGCAGTATAGGGTTGGCCTTCTGGGCTGCGAGCGCACGTTGCCAGCTCATGTCCAGCTTTCCATTCCCCAGTACCCCCAAGTACTTCTTGGGTGGGCTGTTCTCGATCCCTTCATCCCCCAGCCTGTACTGATACCAGGCTTGCCTCGACCCAGTTGTAGGTCCCTGCACTTGGCCTTGTTGAAGGTCATGAAGTCACAGAGGCCCATTTCATGAGCTTCTCCAGGTCCCTCTGAATGGCAGCCCATCCCTCAGGTGTGTCAACTGCACCACTCAGCTTGGTGTCACTTGCAAACTTGCTGAGGGTGCACTTGATCCCACTGTCTATGTTCTTGAGAAAGATATTAAACAGTACTGGTTCTAATACAGAGCCCTGAGGGACACCGTTCGTCACCTATTTCCATCTGGACATTGAGCCATTGACTTGGTGCAACCACCCAATCAGTTCCTCATCCACCCAACAGTCCACCCAGCAAATACATCTCTCTCCAATGTAGAGAGAAGCATGTTGTGGGGGACCGTTTCAAAGGCTTTACAGAAGTCCAGATAGATGACATCAGTGGCTCTTCCCTTGTCCACTGCTGTGGTCACTCCATCCTCGAAGGTCACTAGGTTGGCAGACAGGACTTGCCCTTGGTGAAGCCATGCTGGCTGTCTCAAATCACCTCCCTGTTCTCCATGTTGCCTTAGCATAGCTTCTAGGAGGATCTGTTCCATGTTCTTCCCAGGCACAGAGGTGAGGCTGACAGATTGGTAGTTCCTAGGGTCCTTCTTGCTACCCTTTTTAAAAAAGGGTGCAACATTTCCCTTGTTCCAGTCTGCAGGGACTTCACCTGACTGCCAGGACTTTTCAAATACCAAGAGTGGCTTTCCTCATCTTGCAGTCCATCTGCTCGAGAGGTGTGGGATGAGAAACTGCCGGTGTGGACTGAGGCAAAGAAGCTGTTGAGTACTGCAGCCTTCTCCTCATCCTTTGTCACCAGTCTGCCAGTCTTGCTCATCAGGGTGGTTATGCTTTCTTTGACCTTCCTTTTCTGGCTGACATACCTGTAGAAGCCCTTCTTGTTACTCTTTGCATCCCTTGCCAAGTTCAGCTCCAGCTGTGCCTTGGTCTTCCTGATCCCAGCCCTACACAACTGGGCAGTGTCCCTGTACTCTTCCCAGGATGCCTGTCCCTGCCTGTCCCTCCTGTGCATTTCCTTCTTGCCCTTTAGTTTGCCCAGCAGGTCTCCACTCTTAAACCTGGGGATCAAGAGCTCCCACACTCTGTGGAAAGCGTCCTTAGAGATCTGCCAGCTCTGTTCTGCTCCATTGTCCCTGAGGGCAGTTTCCCAGGGCGTCATGTTGCCTAACTCCCTGAAGAACTAGAAGTTTGCTTTCCTCAAATTCAGGGTCCTCACTTTACTCTTCATCCAGCCTATATCCCTCAGTACTGTGAACTCCACCAATGCTTGACCAGTGCTTCCCAGGCTGCCTACAATCTTGACATCACCAATAAGCTCACGCGTGTTGGTGACCAACAGGTCCAGTATGGC